AAAAAAAAAAATAGGTGATAGTAGTATTTGCCTCTAGCTTCCGATCGCTTACTCCGGGGGCCTGGAGCCAATTGCCGACAGTGCAGGTATGCTTGCTCCTGGACCGGATGACAGTTCATCGCATGACTGCATGTCATTTGGGGTATGGGAGGAAACGGAGCACCATAAGAAAGCCGCATGATGCCGCGAGAAGATGCAAACTCCGCGCGCACCATGGAGGCGGGATTTGACCCACAACCCTAGAGGTGTGAGCCACTGAGTCACCACCCACTGCGACATTTTATTTTATTTTATCTTATTTTATTGTTCTGGACTTAAATGCATTTTATAGAACACACCGAATAGCCCAGTTTCAATAATTGCAGTAAGCTTTCAACCTGTCAGTTTTATACATTTTTAATACCAGTTCTATTTAGTTAGTAGTACAACATTATTTCACATTTACATGAGTGACTACATTGTTCACATTTACCTTATACATCCAGTAACGGTAATGGTATCTTTTGTACGGCTACCGTTATCCTCAACTGGATAGGTCGTTTAACGGTGGGTGCGTATTGTGGCCTCTACACTCCTTTAAATATTTATGAACTTTTGCATAAGTAAAAACGAAATGGTGCAAGTTGTGTGTTGCAGACGACCCCCCCCCCCCCAAAAAAAAAGAGAGAACTTTGAGCTTGTGACTAGATGATCTTAGGTGCAGAATCAATAGGAAATATAGTATCAAAAAGAATGAAAAAATTAGCGTATTTATCTTTATTGTGGAAAGGCGACTCACTGGTACGTTACTGGTTTGAGAGGAAAAGGCAGAAACTCTTCAGTATCGGCCAGGTTGGATTAGTGGCAGGTGGGGACGCCTCTGTTTATTGGTTGCTATAGCTCTTCATCCAGTAATGGAAAAATTAATCGATAGGGTAAAAATTAGAATAAAAGTGCTCAATTGATTGATGATTGGTACTAGCTTTAAATTTCTCCCTCTTTTAATTTTTTATCCAGAAAGGCCATACGAAATGGAGCTGTGTTGTGCTTAATTGCATTCAGATTTATCAAATAGCTACGCGCCAGCATTGTGTCAGGATTTCAACTTAAGTTTATTTAATCATGCAAACTTTAATGTATGATTTGAAAGCATTGTAGATGTACAGTAGGAAAACAAAACAGAAAAAGTAATAGTAATGAAACTTAGAAATGAGTCCACAGGAACTCCCATGAAATGACACAGTAATGTTTAAAGTACTTTTTTTATTTTATTTAATTTTTTGCTTGAAGCCTTTTATTATGGTACTCTAATATCCTCATTAACAGCTGGTATTGTGACCTTCACCTTGTTAATAATACTGCCTGTCAGTAATAAGACCGCATGTCCTCACACTCTCAGATCTGTACCTGTAAAATGCCACCACGAAAGTCTGCTTGTCCTATTGTTCCACCTTTCAAAGACAAATGTTCTTTTTTTGTGCTGTGGCTAAATTGTACCTCCCCCCCTCCCTCTACCACTTTGCAGGAAAAAAAATGGGGTAAGTGATATAAAGGCTTTTAGGGGACATGCATCTTCCAAAAACCTTGCCAGGGCAATGAGTGAATGTGACGTGCATAGGTGACTGCAAAAAGCAGCTTCCGGAGCCTTCCCCGAAAGTGTTGAAACTTTGAGCTGTCCCCCTCTGCAAGTAGATGTCATGTAGCTTGTTTGCTCTAAAATGTTACTAGTGACCTAAATGCCAATTGAAAAAGATTTGTGAAAACAAATGCCATTTATTTGTTTGTTTCAAGATATATTTTATTTGCTCCCCTTGTGCATTTTTTGAACTAGAACATTCACGTACATTCTTTAAGGCGGCTGGAATCTCTGGGCTAATTCAGAGGTCAAGCAAAACTTTCAGGTTGTTAATCTCTTATTGTAAACCCACAGCCTCCCCCCCATTTGCTTCTATCTCTTGTCTCTTTCCTTTTCATCCAGTCGTCCCTCCCGTAGAATGCCCAGCTCTTCCCCTATTCTCTGGTGACTCTCTCACCAGCTTGAGAGGAACAACCACAAGCTTTGTCAAAGGAATTCAGTATGGCTTCACATCTGCTTCTCATTTTATTCTGCAGCGTTCTAATTGTAAAGTCATTTCTCAGCCGTTATTTTAATGGCTTTCTCTTGTTTCTAAAATACTTTCTACTTTTGGTAGAAAGAGCAAATGCACGTAAGTGATTCATATATATATATGATTCAATGATTAACCTGCTCCAATTCTTTCTTCAGAAAAACAGCAGATGTTTCAGGTAAAGGTACCTTTTAACCCACAGGGGCCAGGACCCCATGTGTTTCTGTTTTTATGATGATATTTTTGCATCATATTTGGCTAAAACAATTTAGCATCTTCACGCACAGCAGTTCGTAATATTTAATTTTAAAACATCATTGTCATTAGAATACATCTGTAGATGTATTTAGGTTAAACAACATACCTAAACCGTGGTATAAATTTTCCAAAATCACATAGGCATATTTAAATATGTATTATAATACGTATGTTAGAATAAAGCCATATTATGTTAATCACCTTAACTTTTGTTTCAGCTCTGATCAAACCTGATCAGAATCCATTAGAGTAACAGTTTGTAGATGATTATCAGTATTTCCCAGTGCAGCTTAAGAAGAAAAGTCTCCAGCAGTGAAGGGAGACCTAACAGGGTTTAACGAGGAGAACGTCAGACAGGTTCCATTTCTGTTCTTTGGTACAGAAAACAATCACGTTAACCACTCAGCATGATAACGAGATACTAAAGTTGACTAAGATTAAGATATTAACATCAACAGGGATTTCCCGAACCCTGGTTTTCAGTGTGTATCTGTGCTCCTGTATACATATGTATGCTGTAGTCAGAGTTAGTGGTATTGTTTTGTATTTGAACATTGTAGAAAGATTAAATGATTATGGCTGAATCATTGCTCTCTTTTTTCAGCATGTAATATAGTTATAATGCGATTCTTTTTCTGCTTTGCATAGGGGTACATAAGCTCAATTTATTAACTACTAAAGCAGTGTTATTGGTATCTTAGAAATTATACCATTTCTGTACCAAACTTTTTATATTTATTTATTCTGATTTTCTATATAAAATATGCCAGATATGCAATTAATGTTGTTTTATTCTTTGTGTATTTGTGCAGTTTCACCTCCAGTTGAGCATTTAAGATAGTAAAAATGTAGTCCTTTTTGGCTACTAGCTTTTTTGAAATTGGTGTGTGTGTGTGTGTGTGTGTGTCTGTGGGTTGGGGACCAAATTGTCCCTAAAGTGTAGTAAAACCTGAAATTTCCCTACTTTTGGGCACATCTTTTGAGGTCCCCATTTGGATAACATCAGTTTTATAAAAATCTGTGAATGCAATCACAAAAATAGTAAAAATGCCAAAAGTCTTGTATTTGGGCTGGTTACTTATGGTTAAGGTTAGGGATGGGTAGAGGTTAAGGGTGTCGTGATTGTGATTAGGGTTTTTCCCATAGAAAGGAATGGACGGTCCCCATTTAGATAGGTACACCAACATGTGTGTGTGGGAGGGTTGTGTACTTGTTATACTGGCCAGATATACAGTGTACATTAAACATATTATTGCTATTGGCAATGTAGCATATTTTAATTATTTTAAATGAATTTAGAATCGTGCTAAATATGATATTCATAGTTATAGCTATAGTGGAGTATTTGCATTATCTTCTCTAACAAATGTTCAGGTATAACATCTGCCTATGGTGGATTCATGGTGTTGTGTCATTGTCTGTGGGTTTCTAATACTTATATACATACATACTGTACACACAATTGAAGCTTTACTCTTCAGCTAATGTGCTACTGGCATAAATTATCTTAGTAGCTAGTCCCCAGTCACGACTTTTACTTAAATATCTCTTAATGCAGTAGTATCTGCTTTAAGTAGTAGTAGTAGTATTCATATGAGTTTATTGTTAGGGTTAGCCAAGTCTTTTTAGGGAAATTATTATTATTATTTTTAAATATTGAATTTATTTTGAGTGGTACATTTGGTCCTACAGGTGATATATATTTGGTCCTTAATCTAAAATTACATTCATACCGTAATTGGAAATTTGGTCATGTCCTTGATACCTTTTTTTTTTTTTTTTTAAACTATACAGAAGATCAAGCAGAACAAATTATTTTATTAATTAATTTAGTTGTACGGCAATTAATAAAATGGGCTGGAAAGAATTACTGAAGGAAAAATGACCCAATCTTGCAGGACCAGCGCTTTTATTACAAGCAAACTTTTTGTGGTCTTCACATCCAAGGAAAACGTAGCAGAGATGTCCCGTGTAGCTGTTTAGCGATTCTGTTTTTCTTTGCGCAAAAGATTCATGGGAGGGAACATTTCTTGCCGCCAGAAGTGTAACCATGTTAGACAAAGCAGGGCAGTAAGGAGTGAGGATTGCATGCCTGAGCACATAGATAGGAATCCGTATGTCAGAAGTCTGCCAGCTGGCTCTGTGTGGTATTTTAAACTCTTGTGGAAGCAGGGAAGCAAAGAAAAATGTCTAAATGAATCAGGTATTGATGCGGCGTGGTTTAGATGTGGCGCTAGTAGTGGTCATGTGATCATAGGCAGTTTATAACACTACTTTGGCTGCTTTCTTGGCAAGTATAGTGTTATAAAGTGTCTCGTTGTTTTTGTGGCTGAAGGAGGAGATACACCAAACACTGGCGATGAAAGGGCAAGCTTTTCCTTCCATTATGGGATCTTCTCTCTTGACAATGATTATCCTTCAGGCTTTCTCCGCCACTTGTGGATTTACAGAATTTAGCCCTCTCGAGCTCTGCTTTTTCATTTAAAGCTTTTGGGTGAAAATGAGGATCGTCACGAGGAGAAGGTGGAAAGAATGCTCCTTAAAGCAGAGGGGGAAAAGGCTAAAATGAGGAAGCAGTGGAAATAATGTAGTGTATATCATACATGATCACTTCCTTTCTATTTTTTTTTATTTGTTTTTTTTTTTTTTTTTTAGGTGAGAAGATCAATGATGAAGATTGAGATCTGCAAGTCTGGAAATTTTTAAATACGCTCACCTGTACCAGGGGTGCAACAAAAGCACAATGGCAGTGTGGAAACTACCAACTTTTTGCTGGGTAGTCTTTGCAGTGGCTCATTTACATTATTCAAAAGGTAGGTAATCATTCATCAGCTATTGCATGCTGTGACAACGTCTTTGAGAGCTGCACTCGGAGCACATATTGAACGTGTGACAGTCTTTCATATATGACAGGATATACATATTGCGAAACTTGCTTTCATTTCACCATTGGATTTCTGGCCAAGAACACTGGATTTGTGTATATATTTTCACATTAACAAATAACGACATAACGTTATTAACAAATATTTATTTGAAAGCTAGGTGACAGGTTTTGATTTTGTGAGAGTTATTTGTGTGTGACGAGGCAACATCTTAGCCTCAGACTTTCATTGGTCTATTAAATTCCTAAAACATCCCGATTCTTAAATCTGTCAGTATGCCTTAATAAACTACCCCCTTTTGTTGGTTATCATGCTTTTTTGTGAATACGACACTGACTTACCCTGCAAGTGCCTCTCTTAAGTATGCTACTCTGATACTGTAATACTTATATCTAATGTGCTTTTCTTTTGAGTAACATAATGCTGGTAACACTTACAGAGGAATTCCATCTAAAGTATTTAATTTTATGCATTTGTGATGTTTACTGATATATTTAGCTGGGGGACAACTATAGTAAATAATTCCTGTAATTATTATATTATTATAAATTTTTGTGGGTTTCATTTCACAGGAACTAATTTTTAGTGTTATCTGATTCTCAGTGAATTTTTTGGCATAATGTAGACTATTTTATAAGGTATAAACCTTGCATGTATGTGCTGAATAATCACAGATTGATAGTAAACTGGCAAATATATAAAATATCAAGGTCCAGGAATGGGTATAGAATATTTTGTTGTTATGTAGCTTGTTTTTAAGATGGCTTGACATATCAAGTTTGGGCATCCAGATCCTGCCCCTTCCTAGCAGTGTGGGTTTCCTTTGGGCATTCTGGTGCCCTTCCATAGTCCAAAGATACGCAGATCGGCAAACTGCCATCGCTGAATCGCTTAGCCTAGCCGCACTTATGCCGAGTCGGCGATCCGGCAGCACGTACGTTTGTAATGCGCTATTTGCCTCACTTGTACGATGCTTTGGACAAAAGTCTCTGATAAATAAAAATAAATGTTAATATAAATTAGCCATTGTGTGTGTGTGCCCTGTGATAGACTGGTATCCCACCCATGGTGTCCCCTGGCCTTCTGCCCTACCATGACTTGGATTGGCTCCTTATCCCCCAGCAACTCTTGTACTGTATACTGTAAGTGGTTGGGAGATGGATGGGCACATGTTTTTAGGAAAAGGAAATTAGTATAGCAACCCAATAACTAAAATAATCATTCTTTATTGGTTGATCTGGATTCTCTGTTGCTGGTTGACAGAATCTTTCACTTCCTATTACTGGCAAATGGGATGTGAAGCCCTATATTGCCCTATACTATTTAGCAAAGCAGCATGTGCAGTATTGCCTTTTCAGAACATGAGTAAAGTACAAGCTACAAGCTCACTGTTTCTTGGCTCAATGGTTAGCACTTCAGCCTCACACCTCCAGGGCCCTGCGTTTAATTCCTGTCGTGACTCTGTGTCCGTGGATTTTGCATGCTCTCTCTATGATAGCATGCATTTCCTCTGGCTACCTGGCTTCCTCCTGCAGCACCAAAACATGCAGTTAGTAGAATCACTAGGCTTCCTCTGTGATTCTGTAGTGTGTACCCTGTGACGGACTGGCATCCTGTTCACGGTTTCCCCTTGCCTTCTGCTGTATGCTTACTGGGAATGGCTGCAGTCTCATTATGGCTTTGTACTGGACGGGTGAAAAAATGGATAGATGGATTTCATTTTTGGATTTGTTTTTTCGCTCATATTAAATTTCACTCGCGATAAAGACATGCTTTTTCTAACTGGTTTGCTCATCTCCCAGAATACTTTGGTGCCACACATCGCTATTCACCAGGTGATTAGTTATGCCGTGATCCTGTTTTATTTAACAGCACTTTGGCTGTGATCCTTCAGGTGAGCCACTGTCATATCTTCTGCGTCTCTCTTTTGGTAATGGTGCTGCCTTAAAAGTTCTTGAGTTTTAAATGTTATTCGTGCTCATCTGATTTTTATTTAAGAAAATTTGCTCCTGAATTATATTATGTATCGACTCTTTCCTAATTTAGTTAAACATCTTTCAAGATCACATATTTTTGTGATCGTCCCTTGTAACCACAGGGAACAGCCCAACAACAGCTCATTATAAGCAATATTCCTAAGTAAACATGGTTCATTAAACAGCATCCTGTCCGTAATATCCTTTTAATGAATTTTTTGTAATTAAATTAAATGGGTTAGTGGCATGCTCTAAATGGGTAGAAGTTTAGCTTTTGTTGAAGTTTGGCTTGAGATTAATGGCTTCAGGGTTCGTCTCCTCCTGCTTCATTAGAAATGACACATATGAGATAGACAAAACTTTCCCCTAAACAAAAGACTATTCTGTTGTTTATTTCTATCGTCTGTACGGGTTCTGTGTTCTCTTGCTTACTTTATTATATTTTTGAAAGGGAAACAAATATCTTGAGTGTAATACAAATATTTGCACTAATTTTCCTTGCATAGTGACCTCTGAAAGCTGCAGCATGTAGCTGACAGTGCCAAATACGTAGCATTACCTATATAACAAAATGTTTCCCAGCTGCACGTGTACGCACCTGTCTCTCTGAAAGGATTTCTTCTACAAAAACAGAAAGAGAGAGGATTTTTGTGATCAGAGTCAGAGATTGACAAGGATGTGCATTTTCTTACATACTGTGAACATTTGAAGACTAGAAAATGCTACAAACATATACCCTTTTAATGGGTCGCACTCAAATTGCTCTACCTCTACAACTTTTCATGCCACAATTCGGATGTGTCAAAACAATTATGTTTTTCAGATTGTAATTTGATTGTATTAAAAGTCATTTAAGTAGCTATGTTGTATGACCACCTGTTTGTTTTTAGTAACCAAATACTGTGTTAGGGTCATGGTAATCCAGATCTGATTCCTGTTAGTCTGAAACCTGTCTGTCCCTGGGCACAGACACAAAGAGTCAAATTCACTTTAAAAGTCACACATGAAAAGCAATTTAATCACCAATCTACTGTGCAAAAAGGCATGTCCTTAAACAAATGGTGGGAGCCCCAGTGCACGGGCTTGTTTTAGAAGAAAAACCTGTTTTATTGTCTTGCTTTGAAAGGGCATTTTAAACACTACAAATGCAAACTAGGCACAGACAAGAGACATATTGTTTTTTTTACACTTGAATTTTATGGTATGCTTGCATTCTGTACTGTGATTAGCTGCATCTTCATGAAACAACACATTTGAATTTTACGATCTCTTTGATGGTATAGTTATAAAGAAAAATTTAAGGCAGCCACTTTTTTTGGGGGGGGGGGCGATGTCTGTGAACACTAAGAGCACTTGGCTTTTGGCCTTCGTTTCTGTGAAAATCCACATTCGCAGTGACCTGAGGCACAGTTTGGAATCTGGCTTCCAGTGAAAATTAAGTGCTGTCTGGGAAAATGTATGGCAACCTGTCGTAATGCCCTGTGTCTTTTCAACTGCCAGCCCAGAGAGTTCAGGAGACAAAGGAGTTAAAACTTGCAGTTGCAAGGTGTGACTGTAGCCGGGGTCCCCACCCTGCCGAGTGCTTTTTTTTAATCCTCCTCAGGATTTTCAGAAAGGAAGGAGGGATTTTGGGTGGATTAAGCCTCCTCACAGCTGGGTCCAGGTTTGTGTTTGTCATGCAATGTCAAATGTCATGCATGAATAGCAATTCTCTATTTTACACCCAGATGGAAAATTCTACCCCCACTGCAAGTAGCAAAACAAAAACAAATAATTAACATATAAAAGGGGGGAAAACTAGCTTGCTTCATCACTCAGTGTTAATGGCATACTGAATAGTTTGTTTTACTATTGTACTTAGTTAGTACATTTTTAGTAAAAAAAATAAATCATGATAAATAAAATAACAAAAATAGTGACCATGCCACTGAATTCACCACTATCACTGTTCCAGTATTATTTTATATCACTATTATTTCTAATATATATATATATCAGTATATATATATAAACTGGAACATTGTGTTAAACAGTTAATCCCTTGATTATGTCTTATGACAGGCACAATATACGCCTAATAAACGGATATGATTTGACTATACATGAGCAGTTTCACTGTTTCACTGTCTGGTTTATGCACCATCCTTTTATTCTATTTTTATTTTGTTTCTGGCCCACTGAGATCTGTGCGCCTGCAAAAAGACTATGTTACGTTATCAGCAAAACATACTGAGACAGGAGGCTGGGAACATAAATGCCTCAAGACAGAATAGCTAAAACTTATCAACCTTTTTTTCTGCTTGTCTTATCTGTGGATCATGGACCCTCCCCCCCCAAAAAAAGAGAAAAAAACAGTGCTGGTTGACTGTTGTCCAGTTATTATGAATATATTGAAAGAATGTGGGCAGATTATGACAGAAATCTTGACTTTGCTCAAAGGGAATATGGCAATCAGCAGACTGCATTTGTCCCCCCCCCCCCCCCCCCCTCCATTTGTGCCACACACTGACAGACTTCAAAGTGAACAGCACTGCCTAAAATTTCACAAAGCCTTTGAAGAAAGAACATTCAGCGTCAGTGGATATCCACCTTTACTGCTGCCTGGTCCTGCCTTTCTCAGGGAAAAGACGAAATCAGCTTGAATCTACTCTGAAGTGCACAGGTGGAGACCCTTTTCTGTGAAGCCTAACAATTGGCTGTCTGTCGGCATGTGAAGGTACTGCGGATTGGGCCGAGGTTAGGAATGCTTTCGGGTGCAGCCTCTGGCAGTTACTTTGGTGTCAGTCCTACGCAGAGACACTTGTTTATCTGTGGAGCAGGTCATGGTAAAGCAGGGTTAAAGATCAACAATCTTGCACTCTGTCAGTCGCCCTTCTACTGTCTCTCAAATGTCATGGTAATTTAAAAGTATTTTATGTGAGTATTACACAGTTATCTTCTAAACACAGGTGT